GATGTGGCTCGGCCGCACGTTACACTTGTATGATAGCTGAGCCACGGAGATGTGGCTCGGCCACACGTTAGACTGAATGCGCTGCAGTGCCTTTGACCTCCATGAGCTCTCTCCTGCCCTCGCTCCTCGGTGGTGCCAGTGCGCATGTGGCGCCTCCAGCCTGCCGCTGTCCTCACACCCGCTTCTCTCCCTGCCCAGGCATTTCCGCTCCACCCCTCAGCGGCTAAGCTCATCGTCTAACCATATGTTTGTCTTCCTATGCTTTCCTTCAGTGGCCTTCTATCTACTCTGTTCTGGTGCTCAAATCCAGGCAGAAAATACAGACATAATTTGGGAAATACCTTCTGCACTCGCTTGCCACGACGTCTTATGATCCCATCCTTCCTCGCAGCCCTTAGGTATTCTCAAGTTCTTATCTGATTAACTGCAATAATTTAAAAACTTATCTCCGGGTTTACCACCTGACAGCCAGAAGAACTCTCTTCCAACACACGGGCCCCAGCAGGATTCGAGCTGTTTGTCTCTCAGCAGCCATGACTCACATTCTGGCTCCTGCCCACCGCACAAATGCAGCTACCAGGACTTGCCCTCGTGCACCCCACGTTTGTGCCATGCTACCCTACTTAAAGTATTCCAGACCAAGCAAGTTGTCCTCTATTCCTTACCAGCTGATAATTTCCCGCTATTCCTTTAATCCCACTGTAAAGCCTTCCGTACCCCTTCGGAAGTGAATTACTAATTTAGCTCTTGTAATGCTTGATACATTGTGTCAACTGGAAAAGTCTAGAAGCTTAACTGAGCCACTCAGCGGTCCTACATCCTGGGGTGCAGAGGACATGCCCCACCTCTCTGGGATGTTGTTCATCGTCAACTTGGGGAGTCCAGAAGCTTAACTCCTCACTTGGTCAACACCCTGAACCTGTGCAAGTGGAGGCGCTGGGGTGGTGCGATCAGGTGGCCTGCTGCAACGTAATGGGGGACAAGACGCTTGCTTTCCCCTTCTTTTCCACTCTCGCTGCTTTTGTTGTCTTCTGCTGCCTTAACTGTTGCCCCTCACCCTGCCACCCTGCCACCCTGCCACCCTGCCACCCTGCCACCCTGCCACCCTGCCTTAGAGAGAGCTGCGTGGGGACTGACACTGCCGCACGCTGTGAGCTAAATAAGCCTTTACTTCTTTAATTTGGGGTGTTGGGTATTTTGTCTCAGCAGCGAAAGAAAAGTAACCAGCACAGCTCTGGATTTTCATATTGCTTTTCACGCTATGGTCCAAACACAGCAGGTTCTTACACTTCATCACTTAGTCTTAGCTAAAGGGACAGGTCGGGGAGTGACCATCCTGCATGCAGTCCTTCCAAGAGCAAGACTGCTGCGGGCTTTGTCATCTTTAGTGACTGAACCCAGTTTCCCTGAGGCCCTCCCTTTCTCAAATAGGCCTGTGCCAAGAGCAGGTAGGAGATTTTTATGGGCCACACGTAGTGCACATCAGTTCTGCCAGCTTTGGCGAGCGGCTCACCATCTTTGCTGCATTCATGTATGTTTTAGAATGACTCCTTGAAAAAGGAAAACTCTGTTCTGCGGTGTAGACCTGCAGTGTGGCCTCGGCATGTCGAGGACTTAGTGGCCTGGGCACACACGTGGGCGAATGCGAGAATGAAGCAGCAAGACAGCGGCGTTGAGTTTCCCCGTCGTTGGTGGGGCTGTAACCGATACAGACCCGGGCAGGTCAGTGTGGAGGTACCTCAAAAACCTAAAAGTAGAAATTCCCTTTGGCTCAGCTGTTCACCTTCTAGGAATTTCCTGAGTCAAAGCAGTCACACCCCAGTGATGCACACACACGCGTGTTCAGAGCAGTGCAGTCAGGATCACTAAACCTTGGAATCCGCTCGTATCTCCATCCACAGATGAAGGAATAAAAGTGGTAACCACACACGAGGGAGTATACGACTCTGCCATCAGCCTGCGCCCTTACTATTAAGGACTCATGGGAGAAAAATAAATGCCCACGAGTCCATAATGTTAAGGGCTCTAACTCAAGAACCCAAGTTTAAATATCACATGATTCTCTTACATGAAAAAGACAGATAATAGGAAGGGAAAGGAAAAACAGATATTATAATCTAGTGTAGACAATGTATCTAAAGGTGTGCCTTGATTTAATACAATTATTTTACTGGTTTTATGTGTTATCTGGCCTACTAGTTTGGTTTGTAATCTGTATTTTTATTACCTTTGTAAGTTCTTATAAATAAATGGGTGTGATGCTGGCGGGGGTGGGGTGGGGAGGGAAGGAGGGATCAGACTGTCCCACGTACATGTGATCCCCAGCAGAGGGCACGATCATTCTGCACTGCAGTATTAGATGTACCAATAGAACTGCAGTCGTTATTTTATTATAAGTTCTAGTAAGAGTCAAGACTAAGCCTGAAGTAGAAAATTCACGCTTTCTTGCCTCTGCCTTTCTCCTGTAGGCTGGCAGTGTTTCTAAAACACACACAAAAACAATTATTAATGGATGATAGAGCTGCAAAACTAGTAATATTGATCAAATTAATTTAGACATTTTAAATTGCTTAATTAGTTGCAACATTCATGGATATAATTAAATTGAAAACGGATCTGCACAAGACGTGTGTAAGAGAAATGGTAGTAATCATGTTGATGTAACTTGTGTATTCCTATCTAGTCCTAGAATTAAGTTGAATATTCGGTTAAGACCTTCTGTGCTAGCATCGCATGAAAGTACTCGGCCGGCAGGACATCTTGGTGATAATGATGAAGCATGTCAGATTGCTCGGGAAATACAAACTTGTAGACACTTTTCTTAAATATATAGCTCCAACTGAAAATTAAAATACAGCAAAGTGCAGAATGTTTGGTGATTATTACTTATTGTTATAAATATTGGTGAGTATTCAGGATCTATATCTGACATTTCATTGTCTTTTCTGTAGTATGGGAATTATTTTTGTCTATGTCTTCCATCTCTTGATTAACGGCCCCATAGGCACAAGATTCCTAGCGCGGCATCCCAAGGCCTCCTCAGGCTTTGCGTCTCTCTGACTTATCCCTCGGCCCCAGGCTGTACTTCTCTATAAGCCTAGAGAAAGCTGGCTTCAAGGTCTTTTGTAACTACACTAAGCTTATCTAGCTATGTCAAAACAAACCTTTTCTTTAAGTCAAATTAGGAAACTTAATGCTACCTCCAGTATAAAGTCATTTTTGCCATATAAAACATCATATTCACAGACTTTCCACCCAGGAAGGAAACTCCTGAGGTCAAGATTCTGTCCACCACAATGAAACTATGCTGTATAACACAGAGGCTCTTGCACATAAATTATAAGCAGCTATATTCCTTTCTAAAAGATTTAGATAATAAAGTAAGTTTAACTTATTATGAACTGGTATAGATATTGAAGAAGGTTTAAATTAATATCAATCTTTACACATCCATGATTTTGACATTAATGTATAAAATTCAGAGTATATCAAGTGAAACCCTATGATTGATACATTTATACATTACAGATGTTATAAACATGGCTAAAGAAGCTTGTGAATGTTAGACTGGGGAGACAGCTCAGCAGCTTAGAGGCATGCTTAGTGACCACAAGGTTTGATTTCATCCCTGGTACAAAAAAAAGAAAGAAAAGAACCTTGTGGATGTTGAAAACCTAGATTTAGTCAGGTGTGCTCTTACATTCTTATAATCCCAGCACTCAGCCTAAAGCAGGATGATGAGCTCAACAGTAGCCTGGACCACTCAGAGAGTTCAAGGGCAGCCTACAACATAGAGCAAGACCCTATCTCAAAAGATATACATTCTTGTTTTAGAATTTTATGTGTTATTTTAGGAGTGTGGGCTTTTGATAATACAAATGGGTGCATTTGCTGAATGCTTGCTTTGCACAGAGCGCTGCATGACCAAGCCTTGTGTGTACACACCCACACACACAAATCATCTGTCCTCAACAGTGTATCAGTATTGGAATCATTTCTGCCTCAAAATGAGGCAGGGGAGGTCTGGGTGAGTTGCTTGCTCTTTAAATTTGTAGGCATCAGTTAACAATTTGTCCCTCAGCAGAAAAGGCTGGAGCAAAATGATCAAATAAAAGGACAAGATTTTAGAGTTGATCTGTATTTGAGTGTTGCTTTTCACACTTACTAACTTGGCAAATTCTTCCAACCCTCTGTGTCCCTCATTCCTAATTTGCAAAGTGTAGCCCCAGACTCCTCATGGGGCTGCAGCAAGATAATCCTATAAAGAACCCACTGTGAGAAGCCCTAAATAAATGTTCTCTGATACCTCTTCCTGGATCCGCTGGCACGCAGCCTAGCTCCAACACACTTGAATCACTCATGAAGTCAGCTCTGGGCTCAAGCCAATCCCGTTTTATTCAGTTGGCATTTAATAGACTTTGGGACCCACCTTGGTGCTCAGGTCTGTTGGATGCAGGATGCATTCCTGCGGGTCCAAGTCCCTGCATGATACGTACGTATGGGGAGCCTAAAAGTTGTCCTGAGATGACCTGTACTCAGTGACTTTCAACATGAGGCAGTTAAGGAGTGCCAACTCAGCAGGGGATGTTCCTGTCATCCCTTAGAGGAGCCACATGCAAGAATGTTCTAGTGGCTCTTGCATTAATATGTATTTACAGGCATTGTTTTTGATGGCTCTAGTCAGACTTGAAATTAACCCAAGACATTTCTGCAACTCGGAGAAATTAATCCCTCAATGCCTTCTCACTCCAGGCTGTGTCTGAAGACTTAACTTGGCTACATTATCTCTCTAGGTATGCGGAGAACAAAGCCAAGGGGCTGTTTTCCTGAGAGAGTTCACACTGATTCGAAGAGAGAGCCTTCACGAAGACTTCCTGTCTGACCTCTCGAATACTCACAAGACTGAAGACTCGGTACTGTGACTCTTCTCTTCATTCATTGAAATTCGGAGGCTCAGTGGCTGACTCTGATTTGCTGTGGTGGTTGTTGCTTTTTGCAAATCTGAGGTTGTGTGGTATTTTTCATACCCTTGAGAGCAGGGGGAGGCCATAGGATGGGGCATGGACAGCCTGAACGAGGCAACTTCCAGACTTTTGGTGCTGGAAAGTTTTAAGTATTAGTGTTAAATTTTCTGGAAGCATGTGGATAATTCACTTGGATAATTCACTTTAAAATAACTGATGTTTTGCCAGTGATTCTAACAAGAATGGTAATAATTTAAATCAGTGAAGAAAAAAGGAGATTTATATTTGAAACTAAGATTGTTTTATGGGTCAGTGGAAATTCCACCATCTTCTATTCATAGCTTCTTTGTGAATATTTTTACTTCAAAGTGTTAGTCATATTTTGTGAGTTTGTTTCTTTGTTGGTGCTTTTGAAAAAAAAGGAAGAAACAAAGCCACAAAGCCCAGCAGATGAACTCTCAAATTAGAGCAAATGGTAGAGCTGATTGTCAGTGTCAAGACGTAGGCCTCTTTCCTGCAAAGCAAACTGGATTTGCAATTGGTAATTCATTATGGGACTTGGCTCGATGGTTGCTGAGCATGCTAAAAGTGGTTCAAACGGAAATAACTTTGTGCTTAAAACTATCCACGTGGCATGCGCAAGCCAGTGGGATTCTTGTTCCGTCATAAAATAGAACCACAGAAAACAATGCCTTCGAATACCTTCAAAGCAAATGTGTAAGTGGCTTTGTTTCTACCTCTTCTGCCCTGCCTCCACACTGCCTTCTCTCAAGAGATGTTTTCTTGTATAATTATCTCCTATTCGTCTCTGCTAGACGAATAAGTAAATTCGTTGTTTAGCAACCATTCACAGGCCACCCCTTATGGGTTTGTGCTTTGCATCTTCTCCAAGGTGAGCATTTATAAGCCTCCAAAGCCTGTGCTTCAGAATGGGCAGAAATGTGGGCAATGTCATCAATTTTCTTGTGATGCATGTATAATCTTTTTCTTCAGTGAGCTATGAAAATTCAGAACCTACTTTTATACTCTCATTGTTTGCTCAAAGCTTTCTTTGTGGCCTGCTATGGTACATGTACTTTGCCACCTAAGTGTCACTGTCCTTTCTGGTGAACAATATCTTGGGAGTTATATTTCAATTTGGCCCATGTGGTGTTATACGAAGTGTGAGGTGTGTTAGCTAATATTGAGCTGGGGTTTTGCAAAGTCTTGGCAAGTGCTGCCTGTGGATGCTACATGAAACTTCATGAGCAACTCTAATTATTACATCATTTGTACCATAAAGGAAATTAAGTCATACAAATAAATTATAAGTGTACCAGAATTGGTTGCAGTAGTTCCATCCACTAAGAACAACTGCTGTCCTTGGCAAGCCCTGGGCCCTGTCATAAACATCATCATTACATAGTGTGACACCGAATTCCACCAGAAGAGAGTTGTTCAGACTGCTAACTGTACTCAGCCCTCCCGAGCTCACCAGTAACTGAGTGGGTGGAAACTTTTTGCTTAAGGAGGAAATGCTGGCCTACACGCGTAGTCAGAATACGGCTGAGCAGTAAGAGAGGAGGGCACAGATCAAAGCCTCCCACGTACCAGAAGCTCATTCAGCCTCCTCCTGAATTAGTGAAATTCTTACGCTTTCTGTGGGAGTTGGCTAACAACAGACAAATCTCTGTGGAAGTGCACCTTCAGCTTCCTGACAGAGGTAGGAGGGTTGTCGCGTGCATTCTAGGGAGCGAGAGCCGCGTGGGTTTCCTCTTGTACGAGAGCCAGGAGAGGGGACGTTCTTTTCATGCCTCTTGTTTTTGAGTTTCCATTCACAGGGAGAAGCCTCTTTAGCAGAGACGGTAAATCAATGAAATTCCTTCTCATATAGATGGCAAAAATCTCTTGGCAAAGGCAGGTGGCCAAAAGAGGAGAAAGGGTTGAGTCACACACTTCGTGCCACTCCGTCTGCCTTCCAGGTGGTCCTGCCTGGCAAGCCGCAGACCCTGATGCCACCGCTGCCCTGCCGCCAGTTCAGGGTCCAGGTGCAGACTCTCGCCTCAGCAGCGTCTGGCCCAGCGCTGAGTGTGACCTAGCTGTGCTGGGCTAAGTGCTGTGGATAGGGAGCACCCACCTCGTCCATTTTCTGTTGCTGTGCTGTCCCATCTGTACACGGAAAACACTGAGTGAATTCCACCACAGAATACACAGGAAAGGAAACTTTCAAGTGTAAAAACCTTTCCAATAGCATCTTTGTTAAAGTAACATGAGCGATTTCAGTTTTTAGTGAGGTGATAAAAGGAAATTTCAAATTATCTTCCTTGATAGCCTTTCATGTCAGTATAGAATTTTATCAAAAGTAATGTGAGTTCAGTGCTTGCCAACTGGAACTCCAGTTTTGAAAGCAACAGACTTATCCTGCTATTTAGGAAATTTACACAATGGAGCCGTTAGCTTTCGTCTACACCTTGCTCAGCTTCTGGATGTGATTGCTAGTCTCTTTAGAAGACAGTTTTTATTTACATTGAATTGAAATTTCTTCTGTCTCACATTCTCTTCACTAAAAATTTTCAGAAAAAAAATTCTTTCAAAAAGTCAAATAGGTCTTGAAAACCAGAAAAGCCTATATTACCTTATTTGTTGAGTGTTTTCGCCTAAACCTTAATTTTGCTTGATCCTCCACGGCACTCTGACCTTCAGATGGCACGCCCCTGTTCCTCCCTACCTGGGAGCTTTGGCGTGAAGTGGCTTCAGCACTGCATCGCGAGGCTGCACCGCTAGCTTTCCCTCAGCGGGCTAATTTGGATCCCTGCTCTCTCAAAGGCAGTTTGAGCTCATCACTGGTGTAGAAGTCCCAGCAGGCAACTTTACGTCTAGTCATTGCCAGGAACTCTCGCTTGTATGTGACTTGCATTGTTCGCAGGGAAGAAATAGGCTGCTTGTTGAAGCCTGTTATTCATTATTACAATAGTCAAAAAATAGGTCGCATTGGTTGTCCACCAGATGCAACACCAGGATAGTATTTAACACGTAATGCATTACAGAGAGGAGTTTCCTTCAGTATGTGATTAGTGCAAATCTCACGGGCCTGTGCTGTGGCTCTCAAACTGGTTATGGAGAACGCTGCTATGTGCTGGTAGAATGAAAAAGTTATTTAAATATTTATGGCAAGTCAAGTGTTCCTTTGAATTACTGATAAAACAGAGGGGTTTTGGTGCAGTGAGGTGACCTTTGGTGGAGGGCTTCTTCAGGAGTCTCTGCCTTTAGTTTCTGGGAGTTGATAGTTTGTTTTCTAGAGAAAGCCATTAATTGTACTTTTGAAAGCTCAGAAGTACAGTCCTTAGAATGATTCATCTTAGAGTTAGTAGGAGCTGGGGAGATGGCTCAGTAGAATAAGTGCTTCCCTGGCAAGTGCAAGGGCCTGAGTTCAATCCCTGGTTCCACCAAAAAAAAAAAAAAAAAAAAAAAAAAAAAAAAAGAAGGAAAGAAAGAAAAGAAAGAAAAAACTCCATCTTAGAGTTAGTCACTTCTTCTCTAGGGCAGAGAACTCTTGGGGAATATTATTTCTTTATACTGAAAAGTTATTTCAGTGAACATATATGTAAAATGGGCTACAAGTATTCCCAGGTGTCATTTAGGTGCTAACCAAACCCTTTCCCCTCCCGCCAAGGGCGAGGAACTGTAATGTCACTGGGAACCTTGGAGACAGCAGCTCAATTTGCTTGGCTGTATTTCTACCATGATTTGCCTTATCTGTTGATCAGTATCCCGGGCTAGATACTCAGTGGGCCTGGCTGCAGGGAAGGCAGCAGTACGTCAAAAGCGTTTGAGTCTCAAGCACGACACTTACTTCTTTTGGCGTCTCCCCACCTGGATTGATTCCCAGCATGCATTCCTGACAGAATTATCTCTTTCAAGAGCTTGTGGAAGGTCTGTGGAACAGAGACAAGTAGCATTTCATTGCAAGTGTATGGAGAACCGAAGTGTCTATCAGTCCGTGATCCAGAGATTAGCAGCCAGCTTCAGAGTATTAATTCTAACTTTCTCAGTGCCCACCTGCTTGCACAGCAGTCCCCGTCACCGCGGGCAGCGGGCACGTGTACCTCAGGCAGCGGAGTTTGTGCCGGGTCTCTTCCCTCATCACCATCTCCCAACCACACTTTTATTGATTGATTTTGCCCAAGTGACCAACGTGTGGAGGGGCCAAATGTTTTCGATGTAGAAGTACCTTCCAATTCAATCTTTGGTTTTGTGGCTCCCTTTAGGAAAATATGTAGAGCCAGAAAGATTAAATT